AAGACATGATAATAGGTTTTTCCCATTGTTTCTTGCAACAAAACAGGCGTTAAGATTTCGATTTAAAGCTTTCGTGACAGCAGGGATTCATATTCTTGGTGCCTTCGAACCAAGAAAACACCAAAATGAAACCTTTTACGAGGAATCATGTCTGCATTAACCACAATTCAGACGCCTTGTGGCGTCCTCTGGTCGAACACTGTTTGAGACGAGGCTCAAAAGAAAGCTGTCTCTGGTGTGGACCAATCAGTTTCAAGGACAGTGCATATCTTTTCAGAGTATGTTTTTTGTTTGCATTCTGACCACAAGTATTGTGGTTAATGCAGACATGATTCTTTGTAAAAGGTTTCAGTTTGGAGTTTTAACATCTTAACACAGCTGTTTTGTTGCCTATTATCATGCTCTGATAATATATTGGGCGCTGTCCTTGAAAATGATTTGCCTACACCAGAGACAGCCTTCTTTATGGTCTTGTCTCACCCGTGTTGGACCAGATAATGCCAAAAAGGCGAACAGTACAAAGACCATGCAATCATCAGGTCGAGCAGTGAAAACTTAACACCTGCGTAATTGCCAGAAAGGGGTAAAAATTATTCTCATGTTTAAATGTTTTGGTACTGGAAAAAAGGTGCCGTAGATATGTGCACAGCACAATAACGAGCAGGGCATTGGCACAGCACGCGTACGTCCGTTAGTCGTGTGTGTGCATTTTCTCGTTTCCACATTTAGAAAGAAGTGGTGGCGCAGTGGCTCACGCACTACAATATGAACCTGTGACACGAGTTTGATTCCTGGCCACGTCTAACATCAGTGGAGGGTGATGTCTGAACAGGCCCAACACCACCCCCCTCCCCAACTCCCACATTACCAATGCATCCATAATACAGATTTTTTTTTAGGGTTAGATCGTGAAAATTTTTAAATGTTTCGTTAAACCCCCCACCACTAGACACAGCCAATTAGTAAGGTTTGTCACGTAAACTGAACATGCCTACCGTTGCGGTGGATGTAGTGGCTGCTAGGGTTACGCGCACCCAGCAAAACTCCCCTCTCTGTCTCTCCGCGCGATTCCGAGTATGCACCTCTCCAAGCTTCTTTACGCAACTTTTGAACTTGTGTTAAATTGTATTTTTGTCAATGCCCACGTTCCTGCACTCATGAAAACCTTTCCTCTTTAGGAATAACAATGTGCCTGAAGAGAACACATTTAGTAACTTAAATTAATACATTCTATTTAATAAAATTATTCACAGTTGAGTGTTTTTGGAAAACAGATAATGAAGAGAATCATAATTTACAGCCATTTGTGAATCCAATGCCTCCTTCCCTGTGCCATACTTCACCATGCTGGTCAGTGCGGGTTGGCATAAAACTGAACTTGATCATGAAAAGCAACACATGAATTAATCTAAGGCTACAGTTACACAATCATCAACACTCACCATAACCGTATTCTCTGGATTATAAAACGCTCCGGAAAGTATGAGGCACCCCAAACTTGTACCACCGTTGTCAAAAAGTTATACAAATCCCATCAAAGACAAAGATCCCCCATATAGCCTTAAAAAAACTGTTGGGGCAAGTGCTGTTAGCGAGCACCTATGAAGGCAGGCACAGCTCACGAGGGGGTGGGTGGCCAACATCACGCCCGGCCGCCTTTGTCTCCCTAGTGGCGATGTTTACACACCACACCAGGTACTCATTTGAGGCTGAGTCGACCTAGGGGAGGCCCAGGACCGGTTCAGATAATCGTCAACGGTGTTGGCCGTGAGCAGAAATTGAACCCGGGCTACCGGGTTCATAGCGCAGCGTGCAAACCGCTACACTACCGCTCTCCAACAATCCCGTCTACCACGCATACACACGCACCTACCAGATTACAGGATGCATCCCAAAATGTTGCGTCAACACAGGGGGCATTAAAGGGCCCGTCTGATCGTCTGGAGGACGCGGCGCTAGCTGCTGGGCGTTGTATTTTGCCGAGGGGATACAATGACGGTCAACGCCACCGAGCACGAGCAGGAGCACGCTATGGGCCCAACGACGCATTCCACGCCTGCGTTTCTTGCTGGAAAATCCACGCAGGACCTGGGCCGACGCCAATTCGTTTAACCGTCGGTATCAGCGGCTAAAGCAGCCGTAGTTATTTTTAAACGCTTGATTTTTTCTCTCTCGCTCATTCAACCGACCCGTTGTCAGGCGGTGCTGTTATCGCATACATTTTTAATGTTTCCCTCCGGTCGGCACGCGTTTGATTTTATGCTTAATTAAGCAAATGGATCAATGATCTCGCCGGTTCCCACACACGTAACACGCATTAGACGTGACGGGATCGCTCTGTTAAAAAAACGGAGAATGTTTTGGCGCTAGAGCGTTTTGCTTGTTGGTTTCAACCCCCCCACCCCACCCCCTAAACACCCCCACCACCCAAAACGGACGCAGCCGCCCCCCCCCCCCCCCCTCCCACCAATGGCACGTAGCACTTGACAAATCTCGCACGTCCACCCACCAATCTCCACACAGTCAAAGTAAACACGCGCGTGCGTCCACATGCACGAACACGCCGCACAAGGCGCACTCTGAACTAAAACTAAACAAAACATTTTATTTTGTCGGGTAAAAGGCCCACTGAGCTTTTTTTCAGAAGCGAGCTGTCCATAAAATGGTAGCTCAACGTAGTGGCTTACCGCGTGGAAATTTAGAGCAGCCAAATACTCTGAACGCACGTTTGCAAATGTGGAGGGATAAACTGGAGGAGCCGGAGAAAAATCCACGCAAACCACGGGCAGAGAGACACGCAATCTCCAAATATACAGCAGGCTGTCAGGGTCGGGATCGAACCCACTACATCCTGTATACCAGGTGAGGTAGTTAACATCTCGCCACCGTGGCGCCCACACACGCACACACACGTCGAGCCTCCCCACAACAAAGTAATAATGAATCGTTTACAGCTCCTTGTCCGTCAACTGCTGAGTGGACACCTCCCCGTGCATTGGCAGTCATGGGGGGCTGTTTGGCCATATTTCATTATGCTGGTCAGTACCGGTTGGTAAAGGGGTTGGGCCCAGGACCGGTTCAGATATCACTCGCCATTGATGTTAGCCATGGCCTGGAATCGAACTCAGGTTTCCAGGTTCATCGCACAGTTCGCCAACCGCTGCGCCACCGCTCCCGGTAGAGAAGTTTACCCTCTTCGAAAATGTTCCGAACATATTTGTTTTTGCACTGTGACCGATAAGCAATTCCAAAATTTCCCTTACAAAGGTATCCATATGCTGTAGCTTCGGTGGGTTTTAAGAAACAAAACATCTTTCTCAAATCGAAAACTCCGAGGAAACGATCGTGCGCAGCAAACGCCAAACCAACGCGGCGTGCCTATCCCTCTCATTCTGGTCATCCCATCATCAAACGCATCGCAACGCTTTTTTTTCCACACGCACGCTACGAACGGCCCCAGAGAGAGAGAGAGAGAGAAAAAACCACGGGCCCACTCCGCCGCCCCCCCCCCCCCCCCCCCCCCGGGACGCGCCGGCGCAGCAGCCACATCTGTACGTGGGCACTGGGCGGGCCGCTAGGCGGGCGACCTCGCCGGACGCGTGATTAATGGGGGCAGCCGGTGGGACGTCCCGACAGGGTGACAGCCGTTTACACACAGCCCCGAGCACCAATCAAAACAACACCTGAGACTCGGCACCGCCGCGGCTGCCGGGGCCGCCGCCGCTACCGCTGCTATCGCCGCTACGGCCGCGCGGTGCCGATCGCGCAGACGCCATCGCCGGCGATGCCAACCGAACGATTTTGTCACCAAATCTGGCGACTTTTTGGCGACTAAATGTTCGTCGAAGCGAGTGGCGATAAAATCGAGTGATTTTTCTGGGACGAGCAAGTTATTAATAATATTTCAGAGAGATTCCAGGTATGGCTTCACACGAGTGCTGTATCAGTTCACTATGTTTCATGCTTGATAAGGCTGTCTAGTGACATCTTGACGATGACAGGAGGTATATCTAGCAAACTTTTTGATGATACCAATTTTCCAAGTACGTGCCCTGAATGTTGTAAGCAAGAGGCAAATTGAATAACCTTGGACAAATGTGTATTAATGGCCAACAGAGTTGCTGTGGGAGAATATTTAATATTCAGCCATTAATGTTCATTCATGTGACGCTGTGCTTGTATAAGGGCAGCAGGTTTGGCCTGTTGGTTTGCGCACTGCACTACGAACCCGGGAAACCTAGGTTTGCTTCCCGTGTATGACTGACAGTGGCGAGGGATATTCGCAATCATGACTGGCGACTGATATTAACTCTTGAATTGTATCGACCCTTTATTGACCCTGGGTCTCCGTTGCTATTTCAATGGGCCTTCACCCAAGGGAAATCAATGAACTCCTCTCATCCGCATTCACATAGGGTACCACATTAGCGGATCCTGTTATCCGCACATATCGGCGAAAGCATCTCCCGATATCCATGTTAATCTGCAGATAAAATAATGAATCTGTCACCACTTCTGGATGGACCCCTTTTTCCATAAGAAAATGCAATTAGAATGAAACGAGTATTTCCTTGAAACCACGTGCAGGTGACTTATCCACAAAAGCACGGATTAAAAGATGAATTCAGTGTATCCTGCATACCTCTTCCTGGTGACCTATAGACACGAACATGCAAATAAGATGTATCTGTCAAGACATATAGACTGACTCCTCCATGCCCAAAACAACATGGAACACCCAGAGAACTTGGCACTTCAGGGAGACCACTTCTGGGTGACCCGTCTGCGGAAAACCACCGAGATACATTTTTCATGACTTTTTTGTTTGTTTGATTTTTTTGTGCCACGTTCTGGGTCTCAAAATCACCCAGCGGGCCTCGTGGTAGATGTGTCACTGCTTGATGAGGGGGAAGGGGGGTCGTGGACAGGAAGAGCTCAGACGTGCTCGCGAAGTGAAAGTGGCCACCGGTGTTTCGGCGCGGAGAGGTGCATCGCTTCACCTCCATGAATGAGATCCCGAGGCTCCACACGTCCGAGTGGATGCCGTACTGCTCCCCGGCAATTCTCTCGGGCTGCCAAAAAAAAAAACACACCGAGAGACAGCGACGCAAACGTGAGTTCCAAGCTGGATTTTGTTCGCCCAGGTGCCGGTAGTCAAGAGGACAGGATAAGAGCCTCGTTTGCAAGAGTGACCCAAGGGGGCTCGAGTCTGCCAGTAGGGGGCTGATGATTGCTGCTGTGTGTGAAATTTCCCCAATCGAGGAATTGTCGATGCGTAACGACGCCATCGATTTCATCATCGGTTAAAATACGATTCTCGTGATCACCACACATGCGGAAAAAACGCGCGTACGAGAACGAACATTTACAATTGGTGCATCGTGATATGTAAACTTGATGTCGTATTGCACTCCTTCGTCCAAACAGCAACACGAATTGGCCACAACAGTAGTTATTTGATGAACAGGTCATGTGTGGTGGGGTAAAGTACAGGTACTCCCACCTCTTCCAAGACATCTCGCCAGAAAGGAAGAGTCGGCCAAAATAGCCACTGCAGAGGGGATTCTCTGGAGTGTCCTCTACCGGAGGCCTTTCCGCCAGCAGGCCTGCACCTTTACCTTCAACTCAGTAACTCTTTGAGCCCCGGAACGGGTGAGGGGTTGCGTTCCTGACAAACCTATACGCATGTGAAACTTGGGACTCCATCACCGGCATCGGAACGAAGTCCTCAATGCTTTGAATTCAGAATCTCATTAGAATCCTCGGATTACAGTGTACAGCTCACAAGAATAATAGAACAGATATCTGTTACAATCGGAACCCATGAGCCTTTGTTGGCAGTAGGAATGACATGGAAGCTGGAGTGTAACAGCAGCAGGCCTAGTGAACGTGCTGAGGGAGGGGGGGGGGGGAAGAACACAGAATGCCTAAGTACAACCTGACCCAGACACACAATTATCACCGGCACTGGGAAATCACAGAGATTTATCAAGCCACTAAAGACATCTTGAGACAGAGGGACATGACAATCATACCTTAGTTTCTATGAGACGGGTAACTCAAGTCAACTTTACTTTGCCCGAGTTGGTCTGATTTCGTCCCAAACTCGAGTTGAAAGGCAACTTGGAGTCTGTTAAAATAAGTGGCTTTTCCATAATTTGCCAAGTTACCCAAGTTCTCACTTCAGATCGTCGGCCATTCCCAGAAATACTTCCTCGTGAGGCATTCATGAAATTTCCTCTCAGATCGAATTCTGATAAAGGGCGTCACGGGAAGAGAGAGTGTGGCCCAGGAAATTCGGGCTGCTAGTCGCCAAATTCAGAGGCCAACTTGAGGTGACGAGAAATATTTTGGAAATATGCTGCTGGCTCAGCAACCCGCGTTTTAATGTGTGGCTCACGGAAACAAAACATCTGTTCCCCCGAAAATGACATCCACTTCTCGATGGAACTGGTCAAGGAACGGCTGAAGGCGAGCAGCTCTGAGGCTTGACGCGAGTGGACGGCGTGCGTTGAAGGCCTTTCAAACAAACGACGGCAAGAGTGCCAGGCAGCGTCAACAACACAAAGTCGCAGGCCGTGGGCACGGCCACACGCGACTCTGTCCCGTTTTTTTTTTTGTTATCCACTACCTCTGACGAGGAGGAAAAAAAGGCGCCGTTAAAATCTGGCGACGCTTTAAGATCGGTGCTGTATCTGCCTACGAATATAAATTGTCGGGGGAAAAACAATATCGGGCCATTAATGTAAAAGTAAAAAAAAAATGTACAAAAAACAAGACTCTATATGGTTAGGGAGCGGCATAAAAAAAATATGCGGTAACGGTTTGGCAGATTTTATTAAGTTCGACGATGTAATTTTTTCAAATAATAAAAAAAAGTGCCGAGTCCAGGAGCAATTTGCTGCTCTGCTGCCCAGGCAAACGCACACACACAGAGAGTATCTACATGCCTACAAGTACACTACATCCTTTGTCTAATGGTTTATCATCTGTGGGGGGTCTCTACGCTGGGGTAGATGGGATGAGACAGCACGCCGGGGCGCGCTGCCGATGCTGCGCGCCGCGGCAACTGTGCCGCCGCACGCCTTGGACCGGTCCTTCCTCCTCCTCCTCCTCCTCCACCTCCTCCTTCGGCTCAAATCCGTCTGCTCAGCAGCGACAATGGGCCTGAACGAGGTTCCTCCTCCGTCGCCATCCATTTGCCTACCGATTTCAAGGCTTCGTTCATCGCCAATCTCCCTCTCCCTGCTGCGTCTTCCTTCACTTCATTAATCCGAGAGCCCGGGTGCAAGGAAAGAAGTGGGCGACCGCCACCTCCCTCCAATTTCCACCACCCTCTACGCAGGCCGGGGGAAGCGCGCAGTTGCACTGCCTGCGCACCCGACAGCTACACTATTGGCCGGCGATCCGGCGGAGCTCCGTTAGGGCGGCAGGGTTGGTGGGTCGCACCGAGATGAATTCCAAGCAGCAGGGTGGTGCTTGTGGGTGGCGGTAGCACGTAGATCGGGTTTTCGTACGAGCTGTTCCGTCGGAAAGGAGTCCCGGTGGTTTCCTCTCGCTTGTGGATTTTTCTTCCGGCACTCTGGTGTCTTCTCCACGAATTCCGTTTTTTTTTTTCAAAGTCAGAATCTTCATTTTATCCCGGAGGAATCCGATGAGCTGTGAAGCTCTTTTTCACGGATGTCCAGTGAGGACGCATCGGCAAGTTACAAGAAACGGACAAAGGTACCCATCTTACCACATCACGTGAAAATAACAAGTTAGAGCCACCAGAGTATGTGGCTTCTGGTCAAGTGTTTTTCAACGGCATTTGAAGCCTGCTAAGTAAATCGACGCTGGTGTTCACATGCAAGATTCCTCTGCAGAGACTATTACACGGCAATAGCCTCACGGAATTATAACACTTGTGCATGTGGGAGGGCCTAAGAAGAGAACACTCAAACATAGCACAGGTCTGAAAGCAACTTGCTGTACTGCCTCCTGAAGGCATTTCATCGCTTTGCAGGTGAAGGTCTCGTGCATAACAGCTCCATCTACACACAACAATCCTCCGATGTTGCGTTCAAATCTAAAGACAGATTTCCAGCAAGCACCACCAGCACCAAAAATGTTTTTAACTTTTGGGGCAAGTACTGTTAGCGAGCACCTAAGCTATGAAAGCCAGCACAGTGCACGAGGGGGTGGTGTGACCAGCAGCACGCTCTGCCACCTTTGTCAGCCCAGTGTAGATGTTAAAGCACTGGTCCACCAACTCAACAGAGACTCAATCAACCTAGGGGAGGCCCAAAACCGATTGCTGATATTCGCCACCAATGTTGGGCAACGGCCGGGAATCGAACTCGAGTCGCAAGGTTCATCTCAACTCCTTATCTCGTACAGATTTCCACAGCGCCTTATCCCAAGAAGCTTCACGGCGATTATAAAATTGTACGTGAGACGGAAGTGGTCGTGACCCAGAGTAGGGTCATTAAAAGTGGTGGTGTAATAAATGGTGGCAGGAGAACATGCGCGAGGGGTTAAGGAGGGGTTGGGGTAGGCCCTGGTCATAGCTGGGGAGGGGGGGGGGGGGCGAGGGGGGGGCAGCTAGGAGCAGTAGCGATGCGCTGACCACTGCGACACAGCTCTCCGCCGTCATCGCCACCAACGCAGCCCAAGCGTTGTCTCATTCTCACTGTGGGCTGGACGCCCTGCACCGGTCAGGATACCCGTAGGCGGCAGCGGCCGCTGCTGCTGCTGCTGCCGCCGCCGCCGCCGCTATTGCCTGTATGCGGCGTCGAGGAATGTGCACCGTTTACCGTTTTGGGGTGACTGGTGGCGTGCCCGGCCACGTAAAAACAATCCCGCCGTGGCAGCAGCGCAACGCGTTCGCCGGGAAGCGGGGATGAAAGGAGCTCGCGGTTGATTAAATTGAGCGGCACAGACGAGGAATGTTTAACATATATAAAAAAAAACACACACAAATGCGCAGTTGTTCTAGCGCGTGGCACAAATGTATGAAATAATGAATTTATGACAGCTCGACGAAGGGGCCGGGCGTTCAGATGATGAAAGGAGAGCACTTTGAAGCTTTCGCACGGCAAGGGCCCCATCTTGCCGGCGCGCACACTCACACTCACGTGCACACACTCAAATGCGTGCGGACATACACACGTGTGCACACACACACACACACAGTCACACGCTCGCTCACTCGGGCATGAGCGAGATAGCGGGTGGACAGGCAAGCCGGTGGATGAGCGAGCGAGCGAGCGGGCAAGGCAAGGCAGGCGGTCAGGCAGGGCAGGCGGGCGGGCGTGTCTGCCGCCTGTATAATTTCCAATAATGCACGGGGCCACTGCGACGGCTCTCCCCTCATGCCGGCAAGCCGTGGCCGGGGCCGAGTGCGAGCGGTCCTCGAAACGTTAAAACCTTCAAAGCGCTGAAAAGGAAAGGGACGGTAATGGAACAAAACAGCCTGAAGTGTCGGCCGCCTGTTTAGAGTTCAGCCAGCCCCATCTGAGCCCCGGCCATCTCGCCCTCCCCATAGCCTCCCTCTCTCCTCTCCTCCCCGCATCCCGTCAGGGCTGTCATTACCATCGAGACAAAAGCCACGGCAGGGGCTTTCTGTTAAGTTACCACTTACCACTCCGCGCCCGCCCGACCGCGCGCCCCTGCTTTGCTTTCTCTGCGCTAGAGTAACAAAGGCGCTCGGCATTGAATTCTCAGAGCACTCGGCCTCCCAGCTGGGGCAGGGGGTGGGGATGAGAGGCTCAAGTTTGACCAAAATACCTGCATGCCCGTCCCACTGCACAATCGCAAACGGCGGGCAGGCGAGCGAGCGAGACGCCGTTCTGCGGGGGAAGGTCACGCCCGCGTGAATCGCGAGCGAGCACGGAAGCGCTTTTGCCGCGCCGGCCGCACTTTCTTGCCCCGGTGCTCTCCACAGAAGACTTACGGTTTTGAAGAGTGTGATTTCATGAAAGTTATATTTTTAAACCGCCTGCATGCCGCCCCCCCCCCCCCGCCACCTCCCGGCCCCCACCCTGACCCCCGCAATGCTCCTGCGGTAACTGCCACGGGGCACAAGTTTTGCCAAGGTTTTTCGGGTAGCTGGCCTCAAGGTTGTGGAGCATTGTGGATGCAGAAGGTGTGAACAATTGGGGGAGGATTCATAGATATTTGACGTTCCTTACACAGTGAGAAGCAATGCGTGCGGTTCCATCTTGTGGCATGCAAATGCTAAGAAATAATGCCGTTGTACGAAGGCTGCTTATTCGCAGGATTCTAAACGAGCACGCGCACTCAAACTCACCGCCATGTAAGCATTGGTTCCGACGTACGTCTTGGCGATTGAATTGACCAACTGAGGAAAAACGAAAGAATTATAAGCAAAACAAAATCCAGCAACACCTATGATTGCAAAAAGGGACACGTCTTTTCTTCACTTGCGATAAAAAAAAAGTTTTTCCTGCACGTCGGCTCGCGAGGACCCTCACACTCCCGTCTGGGGAGACCGCCTGCAAGCGGCAGGTTCCCCCCCCCCCTCGTCCCGGTCCGGTCGCACAAAATAAACCGCGATTAATTCGCTGCGTCGTTGCATTAATTTTCAGCGCCATCATTGTCAAATCTTCAGGGGGAGCCAGAATCCGCAGGAAAAAAAAACTTGCGCGGATGGGGGGGGGGGGGGAAAAAAAAACAATGGAGACAAAACGGACAAAAGAGGAGCACACTCTCGGCAAGCCAAGCTCCGGGGAATCGCTTTCATCGCGCCAACAAAATCCACCGGCTTTTGTTCCAGCAGAAACAGTGCTGTAAAAAAAAAAAAAACGCAATTCCTGCGGCACTGCACGCGCTTACTCCCGCGCTCGCCCACACGCGCGTGTGCGTGCGTGTGCGTGTGTGTGTGCGCGCGTGCTATAAAAACACGGGACGGGGAAGAAGAGACTCTTGGGATCTCCGTGCCATCACGGCGACAAAGAGCGCGCCAAGTGTCCGTAAGAGGGAAATTAATTAAAAGCCGGTGACAGTGGCGGGACAGCATTGTCCACGCGCGTTAATTTCTGTCGAGGCCTCGGTGGAACGCACGACCTCCGACCCCGTGCATTGTGGCGTTGGCTCTGTCCTGCGTGGTGGCTATGCATTTCAATGAGCTCCCTCTTGTTTTCATGCAAAGAAGTAATTACAATATCAGAAGATTTTTTTCCCGATGCACTGTATATATGTGCCGAATCCTCTCCTGCCATCTATTTTTTTTGCACGAGCCGGTGTAATGAATAATTTTGCCTTTCCCCAGCGATGAGGAGAGGGGGTAAGGGCGGGTTTCTGGAACAGTTATAAAACAGGCTGCCTGTCATCCTGCGGATGAGGCACGTGATAATGTGCTTTGACATTCTCCGTGTTTACGTTGAGCAACGTTCAATTGTTTGCATTAACAATAAAGCAGTTGCTTGCCCCAAAACGAATATGCATTCGAGTACAATAAAACATTTGTCAGCCTAATTATTACTCTCACAAAAAAAAACACCTTACTCCTCAAGCAAAACCAGTGGGGTTTATCTCGCATTGCTTTCAATGACGTCCTGACTTTTCATCAAGCCCGGCTTCATGTGCACACCTTAGCAGCGTCTCGCGTGTCGGTAGCGTGCGAGATACATATCAGTAGTGTGAGAGACACATGTTGGAAGCGTGTGATACATGTCAATGACACGCGATGCACGTGTCGGTCAAGTATCAAACACACGTCGGTAGCATGCAAGATGCACCGGTCGTGGGCGTGACACGTGTCTCAATGGAGTCACACGTGTCTCAATGGAGACACACGTGTCTCAATGGAGTCTCACGTGTCTCAATGGAGTCACACGTGTCTCAATGGAGTCTCACGTGTCAACGGTAGCCTTAACGCACATCTCCAGCATTTGAAACACGTCTCGGTAGCATCTCTCGCACGTGGCAGTAGAACGGGAGAGTTATGAGCGGCGTCTCAACACATCTCGGGAGCGTGTCTCACACACACACACACCCACACACGTGTCTCACACACACACACACACACCCACACACGTGTCTCACACACACACACTCACACACGTGTCTCCCTCACACACACACCCACACACGTGTCTCACACACACACACTCACACACGTGTCTCACACACACACACACCCACACACGTGTCTCACACACACACACGTGTCTCACACACACACACACCCACACACGTATCTCACACACACACACCCACACACGAGGTGAGTGTGCGACACTTGTCTGGAGTGTCTCGGGACATCTTGGTAGCAGTGGCGGGCATCTCGCTCTCGCAGGACTCTCGCACTTCGGAGCGTCGCGCGAGACGCTTCCCCGGTGGCGTCTCCCTCGCGTCTCGGCGGCTCGCGACGAGGGGGGGGCGGTGACCAGACTGGCACGATCACTTCCGGCCTCCCCCTTTCCCTCCGTCCACTGCGCTCACCTGGGTGCTCACGCCGAAATCGCAGAGCTTCACCTGCCCCCGAGTGTTCACCAGAATGTTCGAGGGCTTGACGTCTGCGGCGCGAGCCGAGAGGAGGAGGAGGAGGAGGAGATGAGGAGCGGAGCGCCGGGGGCGGGCGGGCGGGGGGGGGGGGGCGGACGGGGGGGATGGGGAGGGGGGTAAAAGAGAGAGGAGGCGAAACGGAAACAATGAGAAAATGAGAAAATGAGAGATGACAGATGTGTCACTCAGACCCGTAAAATTAATTGCTCTTTAATTACCGCCGAGCCCGATGCACCACCGCCACCTTCTTTTATTTTGCACGCGAGATTGCTGGCGCCCGCCCGCCCGCCCGCCCGCCACCGCAAACACAGGTCCCACGCAGATTAATCCGGGAGCTCAGAGCCACAATTAGTTTAAAGAATTACGGAACTATAACCGGTCCGGTATAAATAGGGCCCCAGTTACATATGAATAATTGCTCAAGGGCTGGCGTTTGATTAGGCTGCGCGATTGCTTTAGCGAGGCAGGCTCCGGAACGAGTGATTACCGGGGGGACCTCTGTCGGAGGCTCAGACGCGAAGGAAATCCCAACCAACAAGTCAAACATGACAGCAATTACAGGCCAGCTGTAATAAAAAGTTACCCAAAAATGTTTCTGTGACTCTAATCATTCATCATTTTGTACTAATATTAGATTCTCGTCGTAATCTAATATTAGTGCCATTGTTGGGAAAGCCATAATGAAACCGATCTATTGGTGTATTTTCACGTCACAAAGTTGCATAAATTGAATTTAAACAATAGACGGAGGGGAAAGTGACTCGTTTGCCATTTGGCGCAGATTTAACTGCACAGACAAACAAGGCGGTACGGTAAGAGGCAAAGGTGCATCCCTGCATTATCTTGCTCAAGTCACTGTCGATGCAAGGGCCTATGAAGAGAAGGAGCTGTAGCGAGCCACATTAGAGGTTATCTTGGCCTACTCTTTGCACGCTGGCGAGGCATCTTAGAAGTGGTAAAGTAATCTAAACAAAATCAATATGACATACAACATATATCTGCGCGGCAATGACTTGCGGGTGTGTGGGCGTGCACGCCTATTTTGCAGCGATTTGGGAGCAGGGTAGGTGGACCACACACAGATCGACGTGTGACGCATCTTCGGCGGGGTAGGTCTCCTCCAAGATGCTCCCATATCATCCTTCCAGGATCCCCCCCACCCCCTACTCCCCACAACAAATGCTCGAGAACGGAATTGGCAAAACATCCCAAGCAGAAGAAAACAAGCGAGCAGCCTTCAGGAGTCAGCTAGGCTTTCTTGAGGAAAGGAGTTGAAATTTGTTTTAAATTTATAACGGCCACGCCAGGGCCTGAGACGGAGCCGCCGGCCCTACCCCGGCCCTCGTATGCTGCCCCTCTCCCTCCTACCATCCCCCCCCCCCCATGTCTGTCTGCCCGTGCGTGTCGTTAAAACATTGCTCGCTCTGTGGCGGTGATGGCGGTGATGGCGGTGATGGCGATGACGGCGGCGATGGTGGTGATGGCGGTAGCAGCAGCGGTGGCGGTAGCGGTGGTGTCAGTGGTGGCGGCACAACTTTTCTATTAGCGGCGAGCCGCGACGGCGTTCCTTATCGCCGGCGAGCCGGGCTGCCAACGATAAAGTGCCGGCCGCGCGGAGGAGCTGACCTTGGTCCTTAAATTTACGGCGCCGATATCGCCGGCAGAACCGCGACTGAATGGCAGATTTAATGGAGAAGAGAAAAAAAACGAAGACAATAAACCATCCTTAAATATAACGGTCGGCAAAACAGACACCTCCGAAACCCAATATCACTGGGGGCCCTCTCTCTCTTTTATGTTAACACATTTTTGGCTGCAGATTAAATAACACCATCAGGGATGAGTGGGGACTCTGGGGGTTCATTGTTTCAAAAATCCAATTCAATTTTCTCCACACCCCCCCCCCTCCTGTCAATGAAAAGCGCAGCAGCAGCAAAGGCTCGCGGAGTGTGGGGGGCAGGCGTTGGGGGGGGGGCCTGTGGGGACAGTGGGATACTGCGCTTTTGTTGAGTAAATACACGATAAGTTAATCCGCTTCCCTGCTCCTCTGTAAAGCGATGCAGGGCTGGTGAGATTCTGAGGGTGCGTGGGGTGGGTGGTGCTGGTGGCGGTGGTGCTGGTGGCGATGGGAGGAGCAGTTCGAAGTGGGCCCTGTCACCCACCGCGGTGTAGAATCTTCAAGCTCCACAGATACGTCAGCCCCTTCACCACCTGAGACGGACAAACAACGCGAAAGTCACGTAACGTCCGATGTACGATGGACCCCGTGTGATGGACAAACTGTTGAGCCTGTCGGGCGTGCGTGTATGTGCGTCCATACCGCCGGCTCCTTTGAATTTTGCTCATACATCTAAAAACACAAACTCTACTGCTAAATCGCCAGCTCTCTTACATTCACACTTTCAGATCGGCCACTCTACACGTTGCTGAATCGAGCAAAACATGACCAGACGTGTGCACGTTTGAGCGCGTACAAACGGGCACTCGCCCAGAAGACTCGTCAATATCAGGAGGACGACGAGAGCTGGCGACCTCAGCCGGCGAACACATTTTTTTTTTAGTTTTTTTGACATGGAAACATTCCACACGCTCGAGAATAGAAATGAGGTTGCGTTGGACATCCGCCTAACGACCTCAACGATGCTTAACTGCTGAAACTTCGCTGAAATGCCCTGTGAGGCTACGCCGCAGAGAAATTATGGGCCTCAGCCTCGATTCACCTGCCGCCCGCACACGCAATATGAAATAATAATAATACTACGGAATTACTCTTTGGTTCTTTGGGTAAAGTCACGTAGAAAATAAATACATTTAATAATGGAATACGACGTTTCGATTGCAACACAATCAATCGTCATCGGATAGAAAACAAACCTAGGAAACTTAGAAATATAATGCAATACAACATAGAGAGTCGGCTAACACAACAGTCAACACCCTACCAGGTTGATTGCGTTCTTCCAAGGATTGCTAAATTTGAGAGAGAGACAAAACACAGACACGGAGACATACAGACAGACACACAGGCAGAGAGAGACAACACAGAGACACACAGAGAGAGAGACACACACATAGACAAACAGAGACACAACGCTTCTGTATCGAGGCCTTAAATCCAGAATTGTTTTTTTTTACTTAATTTGAAGGAGCTAGAGCTTCGAGGGCCAAATTGTACGCGAGATGAACTGCGTGTGGCGAGCCGCAGAGACGGGCCAAAGGTATTCAGGTGAGTCGCACGCGCAGGAATCTGCAGCGTCCTCACACCCACGACGAAACATTTGCATTTCCTTTATGATCTATCACCGCTTTCAGGAGGGGGGTCACGCATGCCGATGTAAATGTATCTCGCCGCATCCAAATGCCCCGAGCAGTTTTTAATCATTTGCTTACCTTTCCTACACTCTGCTCCCCTATCGCTCTTGGTACTGCTTGACGCTGTAATCTTTCTGACCCGCCCCGAACGGACATCTGTGAAAAAGCCCTTCCTAGCTCATCGGATTTCTCCTGAAGTGCTCTTCTTATCCTCAGAAGTATGCGGACGAAGACAGAGCATTCTGCTCTGCGTCAATTGTACAGTGAAGGAAAAAAGTATTTGATCCCCTGCTGATTTTTTTACGTTTGCCCACTGACGAAGCAATTATCAGTCTATAATTTTAATGGTAGGTTTATTTGAACAGTGAGAGACAGAAAAACAACAAAAAAATCCATAAAAACGCATGTCAAAAATGTTATAAATTGATTTGCATTTTAATGAGGGAAATAAGTATTTGACCCCTCTGCAAAACATGACTTAGTACTTGGTGGCAAAACCCTTGTTGGCAATCACAGAGGTCAGACGTTTCTTGTAGTTGGCCACCAGGTTTGCACACATCTCAGGAGGGATTTTGTCCCACTCCTCTTTGCAGATCTTCTCCAAGTCATTAAGGTTTTGAGGCTGACGTTTGGCAACTCGAACCTTCAGCTCCGTCCACAGATTATCTATGGGATTAAGGTCTGGAGACTGGCTAGGCCACTCCAGGATCTTAATGTGCTTCTTCTTGAGCCACCCCTTTGTTGCCTTGGCCGTGTGTTTTGGGTCATTGTCATTCTGGAATACCCATCCACGACCCATTTTCAATGCCCTGGCTGAGGGAAGGAGGTTCTCACCAAAGATTTCACGGTACATGGCCCCGTCCATCGTCCCTTTGATGCGGTGAAGTTGTTCTGTCCCCTTAGCAGAAAAACACCCCCAAAGCATAATGTTTCCACCTCCATGTTTGACGGTGGGGATGGTGTTCTTGGGGTCATAGGCAGCATTCCTCCTCCTCCAAACACGGCGAGTTGAGTTGATGACAAAGAGCTCCATTTTGGTCTCATCTGACCACAACACTTTCACCCAGTTGTCCTTTGAATCATTCAGATGTTCATTGGCAAACTTCAGACGGACAAGTATATGTGCTTTCTTGAGCAGGGGGACCTTGCGGCCGCTGCAGGATTTCAGTCCTTCATGGTGTAGTGTGTTACCAATTGTTTTCTTGGTGACTATGGTCCCAGCTGCCTTGAGATGATTGATAAGATCCTCCCGTGTAGTTCTGGGCTGATTCCTCACCGTTCTCATGATCATTGCAACTCCACGAGGTGAGATCTTGCATGGAGCCCCAGGCCGAGGGAGATTGACAGTTCTTTTGTGTTTCTTCCATTTGCGAATAATCGCACCAACTGTTGTCACCTTCTCACCAAGCTGCTTGGCAATGGTCTTGTAGCCCATTCCAGCCTTGTGTAGGTCTACAATCTTGTCCCTGACATCCTTGGAGAGCTCTTTGGTCTTGGCCATGGTGGAGAGTTTGGAATCTGATTGATTGATTGCTTGCTTCTGTGGACAGGTGTCTTCTATACAGGTAACAAGCTGAGATTTGGAACACTCCATTTAAGAGTGTGCTTCTAATCTCAGCTCGTTATCTGTATAAAAGACACCTGGGAGCCAGAAATCTTTCTGATTGAGAGGGGGTCAAATACTTATTTCCCTCATTAAAATGCAAATCAATCTATAACATTTTTGACATGCGTTTTTCTGGATTTTGTTGTTGTTAGTCTGTCTCTCACTGTTCAAATAAACCTACCATTAAAATTATAGACTGATCATTTCTTCGTCAGTGGGCAAACGTACAAAATCAGCAAGGGATCAAATACTTTTTTCCCTCACTGTAATTCAATCCAAACCCTTGAAATTGTACATGCCGTCCAACGACGCCCCTTCCTTAAACACATCATTGCCGATGTGTCACTGCCATCTATATATGCCTAATGTCGTGACTGCCATCTACAATATAAGATCACTACCAACTGCTTTTAAATCAACGCAACACAAATAGCGTACGTTCATTTCAATGTCGGTTAAGCACCAGCGTTCATAAAAAAGCATCATGTGCTTTTCAAAACAAAAGAATTAATGCGAACTCACGTGACTTAAAAAACCACAATTCAAAAATCATCGGCAATGGTGAGGCCAAATGAGATGCTTCAGAAAATATTTGTTGTTATAAAACAGCTGCTTAATACTATACACACTCTCTCATTCTAAGCAAGTGAAGCAACAACATAATAGCGACGAACAATAAGCATTCAATGCTTATTTACATTTTAGAGCATTCCAAATTTTCGAGGCCGTAAAAAGACCTCCAAGTCCCGCTGAGGGCAAACGCGAGGCGCTTCACGGACGCGCGCGGCACGCGCGAGAGGAGGAGTGCCCATGGAGGAGTTGAACAGGCGCTTCCAACAGCTCGAGTCTCGTTGGGCCCTCTCCGTTCCCAAACGGTCAGAGCGTCCAAAAAAGCGACGCCGATGTGCAAAACAACCCCCCCCCCCCACCGCGGCTCAAATCCGGCGCACGGGAGGCACCAAGAGGGGGTGGTGGCACATTCAGAAACACTGAAACGCCGCCGCCGTTTAAACGGCACGGGCGGCTTGCGCGTTTTTGAACGGGCAAATTTAAATAAAATAATAAAATAAAGCAAACGAATAAAACTGCTTTTTGAGTGGCCACGAGCAGTCCGCTGGGCGCTTTTGCTCAGGTACGCGAGTAATTCTCTTTAACTGTCCTGCTTTAACAGAGATAGCGCGCAGGATACACGGAAATATCCCACAAGGCCACGGAGCGGGATGCAGAATCCCTCCCTTAACAGCTCCCATGCCAGCCATCTTGGTAATGTGTTTATTGGACTGCTGTCAATCAATTCATCGGGGCACCCTTAGCGCCGCTACTCGTTTCTGATAAGCCCCGCATTAATTAATGCGAGCGCTTTGCGAAATCGCTTCTGTGTCAATTACTTTTGCAGGAGTCTTTACAGGCACTATAATCTTCGTTAGTGGGTTGTTTAAGCGGTGCTCAGAGCCCGCTCACTCACCTTCTGCTTTGAGAAACCGACAAAGTGTACACAACAAAGGCAGGGGCCCTGCGCTTTGCTCTTGGAGAGACGCGTCTGGCAGCTACAGCTTTGCACTGCCACGCCAATTTCAAAATCGCCCGGCAAATCGCTCACAATATATGAAACGGGCAACGGGGCAATTAAATCCACGAGTTGGTCCAAGATCGATTCCAACCGCTCGTGAATTGCACGTGACAGAGTCCATTATTTTTGGTTTGCGCATAGTTCTAGGTATTTGGTTCATGTAGAACTCCTGCAACCACTAGAGGAGCAATGGTGGACCGGTGTAAAAAAACAAAAAAAGGAATTCGGACACAACGCAACGAACCACCGCACCACCCCTGCAGCCCAAACCGAGTTAATATTTAATTGCACGAATTCAGCAATCCCTCACCGACTGCGGACTTGCAAACCCAAGTGGAGTTCATATTTCATTGAAAATATTCCGCATCACAATGGCGCACTCGAGACTCCGGCCTCGGCGGGCGGGACACAGTCCACGTTTTTACACCGCAACAATCCAAACAGGTTGAGCGATGCTCGTTATCCAATTCACAAAAGAGTGAGCGGTCCCTGCTGCCGCCGCGCACGAATGCGCGCGACCAGAAAGGGTCCGAAGTCAAACCACGCATTACGTAGCTCTTAACGTGACGGCAAATGAAGACGAAGGCGATGGCTACACGATGGTGGTGGAGCGGCAAACGTCACTGCGAAAATGTAAATGCGTACATCTAAAGAACAATAATTAAAATACTTCAGCATCAAACTTATCAGCCAAGAACACTCCCCTGCTGAATGAAAACCTCC